CATTCAATGGCACTCTTCTCTAAAACAGTGAATATACAGTTATATGACAGTTACATGTAATTACATTGTCTGCAAATGAATTAAACCCATAGAATATAATGTAGTAATGTTATGGCAAATATGAAAAATTCATTATAGTGTTATATTTAGTCTCCAAATCTTTTAAATCAAAATCAAATAGGTTAAGGGAATAGTGCATCTGACCCATATCTAAATAGTTCTGTCTTAAATCAGAAGATATATTTACTAGTAGAGCAAAGCAAACAAGAGGGTTCTCCTCTCTTCCGAGAGGCCCGATTAGAGTAGGAAACCCTCTAGGGGCAGAAACAGACAGTGAGCGTGTCGAGCAGGTCAGTCACAGGAAGCGAGAGGCAGGCGGCAGGAAGTCGTCTCAGTACCTTGTCGCTATGGCTATGCTCCTCATTAAGTGTGGTGCTACTGCACGTGTCAACCCCTGAATCTTTGACCTGTGGCTCGCACCACTCCGCGTCTTCGTCGTGGGAGCGCTCCCAAAATCGCACCACTGTCTTTTGCCTCTCAGATGGGGCGTAAATGGCGTCCAAAAAATGCTCATTTGTTTTTCTTTTTCCCCTTTGAATGTTGCCTAAAAGTTATGTATGATATAAAAAAGGAGGAGAAACAAAACATGCAGAGGTGAATTAAACGAGGGGAAATGGGGTGAGAGGGTCACAAGCCTCACCATAGACATTGAGGAGGCCTCGCTATGCCAAGACGCATGGTCCCACCAGTGACCATCCATATCTCCTGAGGACAGCACAGTGAGAGGACACACACGCACGCACTCGTGTCAACAAGATTTAACTTACATAGGCAAATACGCAACATTCATTTACTCACACACGTTCTCTTACATCTCTTTTAAAGGAGTAGTTCAACAAAAATGAAAATGCTGTCATCATTTGCTCACCCTCATGTCTTTGCACAACCGTATAATTTTCTTTCTTCGGTAAAACACAAAAGGAGATATTTTAAAGAATGTACTAGCCATTGTGTTCCATGCAATTACATTGAAAGGGGACTGAAACTTGCAAGTTTCAAAAAGGATGTTCAAGATAGAAACTGCAATGCCTGATTCATGAATGGATCGTTCTTCTGAGTCAGATCTTTTTTAAAAATCAGTTGATCTGGTTCACAAAGATAATCACAATTCATGATCTGGTGGCAGTGGTTAAGAACATTAATTAAAACTTGGGTCTATTGCTTATACAAAGCTTTCAAATGACTTGAAACATTGTCATAAGGACAACTTTTCTTTTATGGTGCTTTTGTGAAATTTTCAGTCTTCATTCATTGTAATTTCATAGAAAAATGTACCAGTGTATTCTTGTGTAAAAAAAAAATATATATATATTTTTTTTTTTCTCCACAGAAGAAAGTCAGTCATACAGATTGGTGACTAAAGCATAAGGGTGACTAAACAATGACAGAATTGTCATTTTTGGGTCAATTATCCCTTTAAATTAACACATAACAATTTATATCACTTTTCTTTAATATACACTTACCTATTCACAAAGGAAATGGAATGAAAGAACGAATACAGATATTTTAAAGTTGCATAGTGTTACATAAAAACCAGCATGAACTACAACACAACCAAAACTATAAGACAAACCCTGTTTTCCAACAATTTGACAAAAAGAAAAGAAAAAAAACACACAAATATCAGCTTCTTAGCTCAACATCTGACAGTACATTTTCCACTAAAGCAAATCACCTGAGTGACATACATCTAAACAGCACTATTTCTGTAGACGGAGAATCTTTCTGTTAGGAAATCTTTATCTGGTTGGAGACACAGAGACATTAAAATCTAGTGCTTAAATTATATTTAAAAGACATCATTTTTTTCTGTTTGATATTGCTCCATGCTGTTGCATAATGCACAAAATACCATAAAATGCATCCTATTTTGCTGCTGTTTTATATGGGATATTTAACATGTACATATATTATGCATATTTTCTGTTATGTATACATTAACTACTATATTCTCATTAACGATACTATATTCTAATTAAATTCCTGAAATGTTAAGCTACTTACAGTATAGCAAGGAATAGTTTAAAGCATAAAAACTGTAAAAACACAAAGGCCAGAAAGATAGGTGTTCATCATCAATAAGAAAACCTTTAACATATAATCTGGTATGTTATAACATTAGTTAAAACAGAAAAAAAAATTAAGTTTACATTCTCTATTCGCAAGCCAAGCATAGTGATCTCACTCTATAACAGAGATTCAGCCAACTGATGGTGAGAAAGCAATCGTTTCCATTAAAAAGTAAAGTTTCCCAAATCATGCTAACACAAACTTTTCAATTGTGTTAGCATGACTAATAAATTTTATGACATTTCTTCTCTTGTCTTGAAATTGGTTACATGGGTTAGCAACCAGATGGGTTTGCAATGGAGCAATACTGTACTGACACTTTCTTAACAGTTCAAAACAAAGCACACGGTCCAGTTTCAAGGTTTAAGTAAACCATCATCATAAGATTCGCTTGATATGTGCAAAATAAACTGGACTGGATTTAAGTACACCATCGTCATAGGATTCACTTCATATGCACAAAATAATAGTTATTTACATGTGCCTGTATCATCAGTACAGTAGGAACAGTATATTTGATTAAGAAACCAAGCTGTAGTTTAAAGATGAAAAATATGGGTATTATGCATCCATAACTTTTATAGCCATATTCAGTGCAGTATCACAAAGGCACTATAATAAATGGATAAAAGAAACTGTATCCTACCGTACAGCATGGAAACTTTAATATTGCAGAAGTCTGAATACTGCTGCCAACATTGCATCATCCTGTCCCCAATTTCCCTTCCAGCATGCGGTGATATCTGTATGCTACCGTGAAAAGAATGAGTGTTGTAAAAGCTTACTTCTGTCAACATTACTTCTGCCTTAACATACACCATGCGTCACAAACCAGAAGCATTTGCCATTCGTCCAAGCATGTGTAGACCGTCCCCAGTGTCTTCAGGAAAAAAGAACCTGTTCTGTGTAGTCCCAATATATTGTTGATAATCCGTCTTTGCTGCACCACCCTTTCTAAACCTTGGCAAGTTAAAGTTCTGCAAAGCTGATTTACTCGACTACGTCCACCGGGACAATGACTAGAACTCAACTGCAGCTCTTCAAATCACACTTGGGTCAGTACTTAAAGGTCTTGCACATCCCCTTCAAGGAAGATGCCAAACCCAACTGTTTGCCATTTTTTTCATGGCCTCTCACGGTGTCGTTCTCTTTCCCTCTCTCTATCTCCTTGCACTGAAATGGAGTTCATGCCTTAGAATAATGAGCTTATCGTTATTCTTTTAAGCCAGCTCAAATACCCTGCCCTACATAGTCCCCGCATCACTCAAATACCCTGCCCTACATAGTCCCCGCATCACAACAGACTGTTTCCCTGAGTTTGCCGGGCTGATCCCTGACTCCAAGCACCCCTACAGTTTGCCCATGGCTCCGTGGAAGCAAGCATTGGTCTCAATCGCTTGCACCCAACTAGGGCTGCACGATAAATCGCATGCGATATTTAATGCGCATCCAACCAATAGAACTATTGCTTATTGTTTACACAAAAGTGAAAGTTCAGAGCAAACAAGTTAGAAGTCCTCACTCCAACGCATACAACAGCAGAACCGTCAATGTTCCAAGTGTTGACGGTTAGGTGAAATATTGACTTACCACCATTTTCCCAGGCTTCACACAGTGTAGCGTCTTGGTGTGTCTCCACTAGTTTGCTACTTTGAGCAAATCCTTTTCTCTTTCTGCAGGTGGGGAGGAAATTGTGTACTTTGAACCAATTAGGTTGGGTTGTCACTGACTGATTGACATATGTCCAATGGCACCCGATGGAAGGATAAGCTTGTCAGAGATCAAGCTCCTTCCTGTCTACAGTCGAGAGGTGTGCCACCCTTTTGAGGTCAGAAGGAGTGACTGGATGTCTGCAATACTTGTGGCACCTCTAGAGTTTAACATTTGATGCTGCATTGAGAATTTTTGGAAACATCCATTGCCTGAACAAACACCAACATGGTTACCCCACTGATCCAACAAAACCAAACAAGTACTGGGATTTGGAATTTGTTGGTGTTTGTTGGGGTGGTGTGAACTAGCCTTCAGAAAGCAGACTAAAACAGAGAGACTGAGAATGAGCAGGATGAAGGTGGGAGCAAGTGTCTCTTTGAGTCACTGTGTGTCCTACATTCTTCTGCTCCACTGTAGCCTCTTGAGTGCATTAAGTAGCTATGGTGGAGACGTAGCCATGACAGATGCACTGGTGCAATTTCACTTTCTGACTCTGACATGGAAGTGACCCTCTACCAGTGCCCTCCACTGCAAAGCTGCTGGGACTCCCTCTCCCTACTTCTACAGACAGAGGAAGGATCTGGGGAGCTCTCTCGCTCCTGTGCAAAGAGGCTTATCCAGTTGAGCTTATTGTGACCCTGACAACATCAGAGCTTTTAGGGGAGGGGCCAGAGAATATCTTGCATGGTAGAAGAAAAAGGAGGAAGCGGAAGGACAGGTACTTCACGGATAGCAAAGATATCATTCCATATCCCTTCCTGGTATCCTAATGATAATGAGCACCATGACACCAAAAGAAGAGAACATTTTAACGTTTGCTGAAACACTCTAACGTAAGCAACTGCTGATCAATGAGAATTTCAAAGAGTCCAGTTGTGTTTTCAGACATCCAGTCTTCTGTATTCTCACTCATTTCAAACTGACCTGGCTCTTGCCACTTGCACACCAGAACAGAAGCGCCACACTACATTATGGATACACTCTCAGAAAAAAATGTTCAAAAATCGTACCTTTAGGGGTACAACAGCTTGTCACTGGGATAGTACCCTTAAATTAATATATTTTACCCCTAAAAATGTTCATAGTAGTACCTTACCAGTACATATTACTACCCTAAGGTACTAATACTCACCTTTTAAGGGTATATAAGGTACAAAGTGTACCCTTTAAGGGTACCGCCCCAGTGACAAGCTGTTGTATTCCTAAAGGTACAATTTTTTCTAGTAGTGTAGGACAACACACAGATATCATTCTGTAATGTATTCGGTGTGCTCAAGAGTGAATCTAAGCCAGGGGTGTCCAATCCTGTTTCTGGAGGGCCAACGTCCTGAAGATTTTAGCTCCAAATAGCTCCAACACACTTTCTTAGAAGTTTCTAGTGAGTCTGAAGACCTTGATTAGCTGGTGTGTTTAATTAGGGTTGGAGCTAAACTATGCAGGATGGTGGAACAGGTTTGGCTACCCCAGATCTAAGCGCCTTACAGTCAAAAGTTCACTTGAAGAATTAACAAATCATCAATGGCACGTCCGATGTGCAACCCCCTTCACACATCTCTATGTGTTAAACGCTACATCTGAGCTTTCCCATGCATAAGGGTTCTTACTTAAAATGCATTTTGTACATGCTAAGACAATAATTGCAATTATTTTGTGTAGTAAACAACATGCCACAGATATTAGGTTGAAAATAACCTGGAATTTTCCTGTACGCCAGGTGTTTTTAAAGGGGTCATGAACTGCCTTTTTATTATTTTGTACTGTTCTCTGAGGTCCACTTATGATGTTATACATTTTTTGACATCAAAAAACATCATAATTTAGAAGTAATAGGCTATTTTCTGTCCTGTTTTGATCCCCCTCATCGGAACGCTCTGTTTGCATAGGCGTGGCGGATTGTAGACTCGGAAGTAAACGCCCACTGCTATGATTGGCTAACAGTTGTGTATGTTTGACAGCCTACAGCCTTCATAGATGGATGCTGCTGTGATTTAAGTTAAAAACACATAAATACTCATATCATAAATACTACATATCAAACTATCTGTAATAACAGGCAAAGCAATAGTGATCACATAATAAAAACAGTTACTCACACTTGTGTGGTGCGACATTACTGTAGGATCCAATACAGTTGGCACAGCATCGTCTTTTAGTTTCAATCTTTCTGAAAACCCTGCGTAAAATTGTGCCTTGTTTGTAGATGATTACGCTGTAAAATTAAGTGAACAAAGGAACAAGTTCTTACTGACGCGATCTGGAACTTCATTAAAAATAAAGTTCATCCACTCTTTCCTAATGTTGGGATCAGAAGGAAGGCGAAGTAAAGACTGTGTTTGTCACATCTCGGCACTGCACAGCGTCTTGTTGTCTTCGGAGCATTTTTATAATTTGGTTTCTGTGTAGACCTGCGTTTGCCTCTCTTGTTATTTACACTGCATGAGTGAATCGGTGGGCGGAGCTAAACAGGTAGTGATGTAGAAGCAGACATTTATCTACTTCTGCGGAGGCGGGGTTTAGCCACACTATTACGTCATAGAGTGGCACATTCCACAAGCTGTCGTTTTGGCAGATCAGCTTCAATATAAGTTGTTTTTAGACTAAAGAGAAAGTTTTGAGTTGTGAAATAGAGGTCTGCATTCCCGAATAAAACGCGGTAGCGTTTGGTAACTCTGGAGTAATTTGAACAGGAGCGGGCGGTCTAACAATATCCCGTTCCCGACGTCCATTTAGAACTGCATATCTGCGCTTTATTCTTATTGACCACCGGTACAACTTGCGCTCAGGACTGTTATGCACGCGCTGCACGCATGCTTTCAGCATCACGTTTTATTTGCGTGGTCTGTGTGCAGCATGTGCATAACGATGCTCAGCGCAGGCTAGATAATTCATATAAATTCAAGTCAAAGTCAATAAAGTCAAGACTCTTGACAAGATGAATAAAATAACATACGTATCAGTATAGTTCCGTATCAGTTACAAAATATTATTACTTGCCTATAAGGCCCTTAATGGGTTAGCTCCTGCGTACCTAACT